AGGGTCGAGTGAGAGAGAGAAAGGAGAGACGCCGAAACGAAAAATAAGTCAACACCGAAATGTTAGCGCGTCTGAAAACCACGCGCGGAGGTCACTTTACTATTTTTATATCACCACCTAATAAACTTTTTAAAAGGAGGAAAAGTTCTGGAAACAGAAAAGTATAAAGTTTTGGTTAAAAGGAGATAGAAATACATGGCTGTGCAAAAACAAGGAATGCGCACAATAGAATCATTTCCATCAAGAATGATTTGGGAATTGATCAACATACAGAGGATGATATTTGCTAAAACAGCGATTGAATACTTCACCTCTACTTTCTCGAGTGATCAAACCCAAGCATCTCGTTCTTATTTTGAGTCGGCATGAATGGTGCTTTCTTTCAACAATACTGGTCCATTGTTGACGAGTCGATTACCAGAGAAGTCAAAGAATTCAAATACAAGACTCCATCACCTCTTCTAACCTCGTGTCGCCTCGTATACTCTCGCTGGGTCATCGCGGTCAGCATCAGGGTACACATTGTGCCAAATCGATGGTTCGTCGACAAAGTCTCTTATAGCTTGTTCGATGTCGAAATCCATCCTTTCCTCTGGATCTTCTCTGTCCTCCGCAGCATCAGGTGTCGAAATCGGAGGTCCTAAGGCCATTTCCAACTCCATCGATGATGAAATTTGTTGATTTTGAGATAAGAGAATTTTTAGGGTTCGTGGCGTTTTTGATTTTGGGATTTGCGGATCGGTTTTTTTAACAGAGAGAAGAAAATTTTGGATTTTGGTTTCGGGTTGATTTCGGGTGAAAAATCATATTCAGTTTCAAATCCGGTATACTGTGTTGTAATCCGGTCATTAACGGTTATATTTTCTAAAACAGAAACTTGATCTACAGTAAACCAAATTTAAACCAATATGGGGTCAAATAAGCGTTTAATGTTCATTTTGTGGTGAAACAAACGTTTAATGTTTATTATGGGGTGAAATAATAGTTCAAATTTCATATTGGAGGAACTACTACGAGATTAGTTATTCGAATATTTTTACGAGGATATGACAATTTCGGAGGTGAAATAGTACGTTTTCCCAAACAGTAAGTACTCCGAGTAATTTACCATGTGCATTGATTCTTTATCCATTGGATTAAATAATTTTGATATAAACATATAATTATTGTTATATTTATTTTTGTAGAATTTGGATCAATTATCGGTAAGAACAAATGACCTCATCCAAAATTCAAAAATATAATTGTCATTACTATAAATTTTAATTTAAAACTACATTTGTATTTCACTGTGTGGTAATGGAGTGCTTATCGGTTAGCACAAATTTGAGGTCTAGAGGCATGGCCGGCTCAAGAGTAAAATGGGCTCAAGGGCAAAAACAAAAATTTTGGCCCCCTAATTTACTTTTAGTTGTTTTTTTGATAAATATACAAGTTAAAAAAAATTATAGTAAATTCAGTTAATTAAATATGAAATTACAGTATAAAAAATAAGGGTCCTTTTATATTTATTTTTAACTAAATTTTATCAATTTTTTTTAATTTTGGGCCCCTTAATTCTTGGGATACTAGGTGGAGCCCGAGGCATCGCACCACATGTCCTCCTGCCTGAGCCGACCCT